ATAGATTCGCAAGATCTCCAAGCGTTCACACAATTAATGGAAATCATTATGGCAAAATGTCCCGTTTGATCTCTTCAACCAAATCACTGTCAAAGTTCTGCCGCAAATTTCCTTAAGCAGTTGAAGTTAATTGGAGTCACATGTGCATGCAAATGTGGCCGTCGAGTGTTTCCCGTCCCATTTGCCTTTGAAATGTAATTGGTGTCTGATCAATATTATTGAAAAGAACAAAATAGTCGCATCGTCAATTTGAAAAATATAAGTGCTTGTCTTGGCCAGTATAGCCGCCTTCATTGCGCATGAAAACTGAAAATTCAAGTCAATTTTACAACTGGGCAACGTGCTTAAGCAATGTGCACAGATAAATTATAAACAAAACGGCAATAAAACTCATTCCAAGAGATAGATACACAGAGACAAAAACGTAAAAGAAACAAAAGCGTTGCTGCGGCGGCGCTATCTCAAATTTCATCGGCTGTTGTTTTTGCGATGGTTTTTATCTCCTTCGCTCATTTTCGATTTAATTTGTTCAGTCATTGCTGGGAAATATTTTCGTTGTGTTTTTTTTTTCTTGTGTGTGATTGGTGCGGAGCATTAAGTATGTGTTCTACAGTGTCTTTTTCGTCGCGGCATTATTCTGCGCTAATGATACGTCTCTCTCAACACAATCACGCTCCAAGCTGAACCACGTTGCATACACTGTACCATTGATCACAACTCTCCAGCCGCTTTTTGTTTTATTATTGTTATTAACCTGAGCTGATTTTACAACTATTTTATTCGACTTTTTTCTCGTGTGTGCGTTCATACGTTTGTCATTGCTGTTCGTAGGCCATATTTTGCATAGATTAGATACAGACATCGTCTTATGGGCACAATACACACACACAAATAGGCTGGTAAAGAGCATCTATTCGTTCATGGCACCATACTCCGAGCATGTATATGGAGTTTCAATACATTGGATTAGGTGTGAACTTTTAACTCCATCTAGAACTCTTTCCAGTAGTT